GGGGAAACTCCTATGCTCAGCCGAGGAAAGCGAACATATATTCCTCCTACTCCAACACTGATTTATACCCACCTCGCAGTCCTGGTCCCTTTATATAATACAGCAAAGACAATAGCACAAAGGAGACCCACTGCTGTTAACGTCGAGGCGAATGATACCTTATTAAACGAATACACAATAAAACTCCATCCGTTTCTCGTGAAGTGACGTAATACTGTATGTAAACTATAAAGCGTATATGTTTCCACGACCAATAACACAATTGTTTTCCGCGAAGTGAATCTTGAAATATGTCATGGGTGAAGCTCCAATGCGTATTACACATGAGTTCGAATGAGAGTTCGAATATTCACGTACGACGGATAATATCGTGTGAATTTATGTCAATTCATTGGAATTCCACCCGTGATATTTCAGTGAAACACCAGTGAAAATTTCTACGAAAAACGCATGTCAGCAGTGAGAAGCGCGTAAAACACGTGAAATGCTACGAGTGTTTCCGGTGTGATTCGCCAAGTATCTTCAATTCACTTCATATCGCGTTTTTCACATGGAGTATTACACCACTTTACGTAAAACTCCATTGAATATCACTTATATCTCAACAGAGACCCACCGCCGGTGTGGGTCTTTTGGTTTCCTCACTGGCTATCAAAATCCACACACAATTTTGGGTAGGGATATACAAAAACCAACGAATAGTTGGTAGCACTACTACTGCCTCAACTAGTGGTCCTGTGACTAGCACTACTACTGCCTCAACTAGTGGTCCTGTGACTAGCACTACTACTGCCCCAACTAGTGGTCCTGTGACTAGCACTACTACTGCCTCAACTAGTGGTCCTGTGACTAGCACTACTACTGCCTCAACTAGTGGTCCTGTGACTAGCACTACTACTGCCTCAACTAGTGGTCCTGTGACTAGCACTACTACTGCCTCAACTAGTGGTCCTGTGACTAGCACTACTACTGCCTCAACTAGTGGTCCTGTGACTAGCACTACTACTGCCTCAACTAGTGGTCCTGTGACTAGCACTACTACTGCCTCAACTAGTGGTCCTGTGACTAGCACTACTACTGCCTCAACTAGTGGTCCTGTGACTAGCACTACTACTGCCTCAACTAGTGGTCCTGTGACTAGCACTACTACTGTCTCAACTAGTGGTCCTGTGACTAGCACTACTACTGTTTCAACTAGTGGTCCTGTGACTAGCACTACTACTGCCTCAACTAGTGGTCCTGTGACTAGGTTAGAACGAATGCTTCCAACCAATGAAATTATAGTTGGCACGATAATTTTCTAAAATTTTCTCAGAATTTCCAGATTGTTAGCAACACATGTAGTTGACCATGTGCATATATTCCCCCCTCAGTAACAGAGACCTACCGCTTTCACAACATCTCCATGATACCATTCTAATAACGATGCATTCAGAGCGCTACCAGCAACACCGCCTGAAACACATGTCTAGGTGGTGACGATTATTACGAAATTTTGGGAGAAACTTTTGGGGAAATTTTCATTGGTTTCTGTATACTTCTACCCCGTGTGGGAACTCCTTTAATGAGCGAGGACACTGGCGAGCTCAAAACCGCGCACTATACAGTGTTGGAGTAGGAATATATGTAATCGCTTTCTTCAGCTGCTGAGCTCAGAAGAGTTTCCTATACAGTGTTGGAGTAGGAATATAAGTAATCGCTTTCCTCAGCTGCTGAGCTCAGAAGAGTTTCCTATACAGTGTTGGAGTAGGAATATATGTATCGCTTTCCTCAACTGCTGAGCTCAGAAGAGTTTCCACACTAATTACAGAAGTTACACATGAATCATAGTAGGAGTGTACAGAAACCAACAAAAATATGCCAAAATTTTAATGTGCATCATATTTCACCCACACTGCAACCGCACTCACCTGATCTGCATGCTACTATAATAAGGCCATACGCTGCTACTAGTGAATTACCAGAGAATAGACGATAACACAGTACTGTTTGGACTGATATGCACAACAACAACATATACAACAACAATAAACATCATGAAGTTATTATTCAGCTATTGTATCAAATATAACAACCCCGTAATATTATGAAAATTAAACTGAGAGATAATACAATGAAGTATAAATTAACTAATAATAAACCTAAGGGTCTATCAAAAAGCACCGAGTTCTGATGAGTCTGACCATAATCATTGGAGTTTCAGATATGAAAAACATATTCCACGACCACTGCATATCACGGCGAATATAAGCTTTTTCACAGAGTATTACGCCACTTCACGTAAAACTGGTGGAACTCCATTATATAAATATATACCATAATTTATTGAAATTCAATTACATAAATATATACCATAATTTACGCATTCTAACTTTCATCGTCATTGACTCACCAACACACAATATGTAAAGGAATGTCCAAAAGATGATTCTTCCCAGGAGCACAACACCATACCTATGGGAAGAATAATTTCGTCGCGCAGTGACGTTTTTCCTCACGCTTTATTCTGCAGACCCACCACGACCAATGCCGACCCCACGCACGTCAGCATTGCAGCCGATAACGCCGATTTCGTACTGCCGTATCTAAGCCGTTTATCAGTGTGGGGAAATATGCACATGTATTGATGAAAATATAAAAAATTTTGGGGGATATTTTCGTTGGTTTTGTACACTTGTACTCGACATATGAAAATTCAGAGGAATTTTTTGAGGAAATTCTCGGAAATATCCGTTGGTTTTGTACACTCCTACCCGGCATATGAAAATTCAGAGGAAATTTTGAGGAAACTCTCATTGATTTTCTGTACACTTCACCTCAAATTCACATAATTAGTGAGGTAACTCCTGAGCTCAGGTGAAGCAAACAAAATACATATTCCTCCAACACGGCTTGACACCGTCTCGAAGTGGATACGACAATCCGTAATCGATTTCAATGAAGTCGGCCTACTCCCACACCAGTTACTCTAATATAACTACTCAAGAAAAACTTATTATTTTCAGATGTTCATTCGTATAAGTAGTGAAACATGTGAAGTGAGAATGTTGTGGTCACTTGAAGACACAAAAAAATTGTCCCCCATGGTTGCCTTATAATTGTGCACCTCGCGTCAAGCTAGTATGTTAGTTTACAATTATTAAACTTCCATAATGAGCGAGCCGAACGGTTATGCATATCTAGATTTCCGAGATGTCCTTTTCCAGTTTGACCACGGAATACTTCGTGTCAACCGATTCACATCGATATTACTCAAAATTGACTTTCGAGCTCGCAGAAATCTACGGCGACAAAAATACTGCTTTGCATAACGGTTTAGTTCACACTGTAGATCTTTCAAATTTTTGATTGATTCTACATTCTGCGTTAAAACAAAAAGTATTTCGTTGACTCAAAGGAGATTGGAAAACCGCCTATAAACATGCCTGCAAATTTTCAATTTTCCAACTCTTCAAAAATTAAGAAAATCCCATAAAAAGTTTTCACACAAATCACCACACAAAGCGAGAATTGACTATCTCGTTCAACGAGCCGATGCGGTTTCAACGTTCAAAAAATCGTCAGAAAAAAGAAAAAATCAGAAATTTCCAAACCGACTCACTTTGCCACTATCACTCCAAAGGGCCCACAGAGAACACCCGTCAACGATGGCAACGAAAATAATAATGCAAAATGTTCATGATCGATGCGGAGATATTCGAGTATCTACCATAAAGAAATATGTGGAGGGGGGTATGCACATGGCCAGCTCTGTGTTGGTGATGACAATATGGAAATTCTGGGAGGAAATTTTCGTTGGTTTACGCACACTTCTACCCGAATTCGTAAACAAACTCCCATAATCAGCTCAGGACCGCGAATGAATTCGCAACACTATATTCGTTACCCTTAAATTTAATATTAATCACAACTCAGACCCACCTGCGTTTTAAACGCATGTGCTATCAACAGAAATTCGTGAAAAAATTTTTGGGGAATTTCTGTTGATTCCTGTACACTTCTACTCTATATGAACTCCCGAGCTCAGCTGAGGAAGATGAACATATTACAGTGCGAACCTAACAGTTATGCATATCTAGATTTCCGAGATGTCTTTTTCCAGTTTGACCGCGGAATACTTGGTGTCAACCGATTCACATCGATATTCCTCAAAATTGACTTTAAAAGCGACAAAAATAATGCTTTGCATAACGGTTTAGTTCACACTGTGTGATTTAATATCAATCGCAACTTCGACACACCTGAGTTTTATAAGCCGCTAAAATGCTATCAGCAAAATATGCCCCGGGTATGTAAAGGCAAATGAGGAGGTGAAGAATGCATCTATGGAAGATCCTTCTCGGATCTACAATATATCTACAACAAGGCAACCAATAATCGTCGGGTTCATGTGAACGTTTTTACCCCGTGAAAACCGTAGTGTCTATAACTACACCTCCGACTGAAGGTGACCGAAACCCATCGGGTTTATACCAACGTTTTTACCCGGGGTAAAACACCGGATTCATCAATATGCAAATGCGCGGATATAAACAATGCTATCACGTCACACTGCAATACCCTTATATACAAATAACCACATTCATGGTCACATCATGAAAAGGGCTCAATCATCACGACGATTTATAACGGGTAAAGTAATCCGTCCTCCCGAATCGCCTGGTAGGAGTATTTTCTTTTCTCCCCGGCTGACCGATTCGTGACGATTTGACGCAAAATTGGAAATTTTCATTCCGAAAAACTCACATTTTCCGCTAAATTTTTTTTCACGCGCCATGAAATTCCACTTCTATAATTTCACATTGGATACCGCACTTCAGACAGCTCGCGCAAAAGCTTCTTCGCCTCTCAGCATAATCGTTAATCACGACGGGGGGCGGCAATTGACTCAATAAGGGAATGCTGGCCATCGTCGGGGTCAACGTTTGGTCGGCGGGCTGAGCATGCGAGATCGGAATTTTTTACTCAACGATGTTACCTCCATCCGAGGCGTCAGAAACTCACCGTCCGACGAACCGGACCTGACAAGAAACTGACGTATAAACTTTCCCAGATAGTGTCACTAAATTCACAGTAAAATTTCCCAAATAGTGTCACTAAATTCACAGTAAAATTTCCCAGATAGTGTCACTAAATTCACAGTAAAATTTCCCAGATAGTGTCACTAAATTCACAGTAAAATTTCCCGGATAGTGTCACCATATTCACCTCAATGAACAGAATTCATCAACTTCATTATCTTCGTCACAGTAGTCACTTTTGATCGCTCTCATAATCAACCAACACTTTCATAATGATCGAACTCACGCTCAGTGTTGTTGGAGTAGGAAGATATGTAATCGCTTTCCTCAGCTGCTGAGCTCAGAAGAGTTTCCTATACAGTGTTGGAGCAGGAATATATGTAATCGCTTTCCTCAGCTGCTGAGCTCAGAAGAGTTTCCTATACAGTGTTGGAGTAGGAATATATGTAATCGCTTTCCTCAGCTGCTGAGCTCAGAAGAGTTTCCTATACAGTGTTGGAGTAGGAATATATGTAATCGCTTTCCTCAGCTGCTGAGCTCAGAAGAGTTTCCTATACAGTGTTGGAGTAGGAATATATGTAATCGCTTTCCTCAGTTGCTGAGCTCAGAAGAGTTTCCTATACAGTGTTGGAGTAGGAATATATGTAATCGCTTTCCTCAGCTGCTGAGCTCAGAAGAGTTTCCTATACAGTGTTGGAGTAGGAATATATGTAATCGCTTTCCTCAGCTGCTGAGCTCAGAAGAGTTTCCTCACTAACTATAGAAGTTTACACACAATTTCGAGTGAAAGTGTACATAAAAATCAAAAACATTTCCCAAAATTTACTCACTATTGTCATCAACACATGTATAAAACCACAAAATCACTCCATTTCACGTAAAACACATCTCGTGTTTTTCGCGTTATTCACTTTCCAAATGCGTTTTCGAATATGTTTTTTCACAATAGTTTTTCATGTCACGGGTTGTGAAACTCCAATGTTACTCGAGAAAAAACACGTGTGAGATATTAACCCCACCGCATACCAAAACACAGTCACCTCCTATCACACACAACTTTCGACAATTGCATTTCATTGAAAAATAGTCGCCAAAGCAAAGTCGGGGAAAATCCTTACCTAACCAAAGACATACCGTGCATGTGAATTCAAATGTACGCTATCTCATGACATTAATCGATTTGAGACTATATCGCATGGATGAACATGTGATGTGGTAGAAGTAACCTTTCGAGACTATTATAGCGACAACTTGTTCACTATCATTAATCCCGGAATAGAAAATACACATTTACATATTATCAAATTGGCCCGCAACCAGTGTGGGAATATGTGTTTGGTTTCTTCAACTGAGCTCGTAAATTTCCTCACTACACTATGAAAAATTCACACGTCTTTGGGTAGAAGTGTACAAAAATCAACGATAATTTATCAAAATTTCCTCAAAATTTCTATATTCGTAGCAGCACATGTAGCTGACCATGTGCATACATTCCCACACTGCCCTCAACACTGAAAAAATTCGCCCTCTGAAAATTAATTGAAAAAAACACAAGTCCGGGAAGTCCTAAACCAGTCGAATACGTTTACTCAATTGCCATCGCCACCGGAGTTTCCAATCTTCTCATAGCTTCACTACGTACCTACATCGATATAATCGTTCGGACAATAAGTGGGTGAAAAATTCCGCTCATCACTTTCAGTTGTGTTCGTATCGACGACATCGTTGACTTCGCCATCCACCCACTGGTCGGGTCAAGAGTCTTCCCAAGTCTGTTAATCTTAACCTATTTCAGAAAAGAAAAAACACAACTGGCAGTTTTGGAGGAGGAATATATATATTCGCTTTCCTCACAAGAGTTTACATATAAAAGTGTACCAAAATCAACGAGAATTTCCCAAAATTTTTACATTGTCATCAACACATTTAGTTAATCATGCGCATATTTTTCCCACCACAACACAGATAAATATAGAATTAGTTCCGTTTCGTTGTTACAATGTATGTTCGCTTTCCTGAGATCAACTCAGGAGTTTCCTCACTAATTATAGAAGGCTATATACAGAAAATCCGCGATAATTTTCCCAAAAATTTCCTAAAAATTTTCATGTCATCAAAACATATATATTTTCCTGCACGAAAATCTCCATGCATTTACTCGCCGGCTCGATTCTCGCAATTTTACGAGTTTATATGGAAAAAATTTCGGTAAAATTTTACAGAAAATCCTGGATAATTTTACCGAAATTTTCCGAATTGTGTGCATATTTTCCGCACAGTTTCCTCACCTCGTTTTCCACTACTCCTTGGATGGCCGAATCTTCAATATCACAAAGTTGATAAATTTGTGAACGATTACCCGGTGGGCGCTAAAACAACCAATCTTACTCTCAATGGAGTTTCACAACTACCCTAGTGATACGAAAAATATATTTCACGACTACTACTACTACTACTGCATATCGCCGCGAATATCGCGTTTTTCACCGAGTATTACTACGCCACTTCACGTAAAACGGGTAGTCGTGAAACTTCATTGGAGTTTCACAACTACCCTAGTGATATGAAAAAAACACTAGTGAAAAATATATATTTCACGACTACTGCATATCACCGTTAATATCGGATTTTTTTTTCACACCGAGTATTACGACGCCACTTCACGTAAACTCAATAATAAAACAAATCTCACCCGAAAATGGACATCAGGTTTGCTCTCCGACGTAATAGTAGTAGCAGTAGTAGTCGCACTAGGATGCTCCCGAGCTGCTGCCGGACTGCGAAAATGAGGATCTCTAAAATCGATCACCTGATCGATTATAACTTCTGTGTGGAGGGAAAATATTCACATGGTCAACCACATGTGTGGCCAACGATACGAAATTTTTTGAGGAAATTCCCGAAAAATTTTCATTGGTTTCCGTACATTTCTACCAAAATTTGTATATAAACTCCTATAGTAAGTGAGGAAACTTTCGAGCTCAGCAGCTGAGGAAAGCGATTACATATATTCCTACTCCAACACTGTATAGGAAACTCCTGAGCTCAGCAGCTGAGGAAAGCGATTACATATATTCCTACTCCAACACTGTATAGGAAACTCTTCTGAGCTCAGCAGCTGAGGAAAGCGATTACATATATTCCTACTCCAACACTGTATAGAAAACTCTTCTGAGCTCAGCAGCTGAGGAAAGCGATTACATATATTCCTACTCCAACACTGTATAGGAAACTCTTCTGAGCTCAGCAGCTGAGGAAAGCGATTACATATATTCCAACCCCGTGCACTTCAATGAAATTTCAACTCACTTGAAATTTCACGGCTTCTGGGTTTAGCTTCGGATCATATCCAAATCGAACATAGCAATTTCGCCAGGGCCCGTTGAGGTATAAATATGATACCTATTATGAACAACTATTATCAACGACAGAAGGTGAAAATGTCCGAGAACGTGATAAAATTACGCACGATGTAGGTTCAGGAGTGCATTGAGAAGAGTAGAATTGTAGTGTTGGGAGGCTTTTAGAATTAATAACTAGGAAGCAACGCATTTGCTGAAAGTGTAAGAGTATGTAATAAGAATTCGAAAATGTGATTTTTTCACGCACGATTATATACACCTAGTTTGAGAGTATTAATCTCCAACAGCGTCGATTTTTAAGATTTCGAAAATCAACATGATAACAATGTGAATCGATTGACGCCAAGATTTAAACGTGAATGTAAAAATATGCAAATGTGTTGCTGATGAAAATATGAAAAAATTCCGAGAGGAAATTTTGGTATTTCTCTTTCATTTCTGTACACTTTTACCCGAATTCATATATAAACTCCAATAATCAGCTTTGGAAACTCCTGAGCTCAGCTGAGGAAATGAAAATTATTGCGAAAATTCACACGTTATGTCACAACACATGTTCATAGCCATCGTTACGTTGTTTAGCTTCAGAAAATAACGCGCAAATTCTCCACATTTGCTTTCCACAAATTTGCACAGTATAAACACGAGTTTAGCTGCTCCTAATGCAAAGCTTAGTTTCCATATTCCGACAGCCTCTGGGACGCCAACACAGAGATTTTGGAAAAAAAGAAAGTATAAAGAATATGATACTCCCATCACAACACATGTAACATTGCAAATTTCCGAAAATAACAACACACTTTCACATATCATAAAAAATATAGCAACTCTTACTGCTCGTAATGGAAAGCTTAGTTTCCATGGATATTCCGACAGCCTCTGGGACGCCAACACAGAGATTTTGGAGAAAAAGAAAATATAAAGAATATGATACTCTCATCACAACACATGTAACATTGCAAATCGATTCTCATTAATTTCCGAAAATAACAACATAAAAAATATAGCAATTCTTACTGCTCGTAATGCAAAGCTTAGTTTCCATGGATACCCCGACAGCCTCTGTGGAGTCCACCCTAACAACCCCAGCTGTTCGTCAAGGCTAGCACGAAGCCATATCGGTCTGAGATTAGGAGAAAAAAAACAACAAATACAGAATTGCCAGAAATTGTAGAGACGCTTTTTTGACGAATTTTCAATTTCCATGCGAGAATAAAAATGGAGTTGCATCCGTTCTACGTGAAGTAGTGGAAAACGCGATGATATGCAGTAGTCGTGAAATATGTTTTTCATATCACTAGGGTGGTGAAACTCCGATAAAGTTGCACTACCCGTTTCACGTGAAGTGGCGTAGTAATACTTTGTGAAAGACGCGATATTCGCGGTGATATGCAGTAGTCGTGAAATATGTTTCTCACTAGTGCTTTTCATATCACTAGGGTAGTTGTGATGTACTATATACTTTACACACACAAATTATATAAATTTATGAAACAAAATATACAAACACGGATATTTTTACAATATACTTTATATATATAATTTCTTCAAATTTTCCTATAATGCTTCATTTCATTATTGTTCGCTTCGGTCGGTTCTCATTAGTAGTAGCCTCGCCCCCTTACACACACCCATCGGGCGAGCATTCCTCGATTTTCATGAATTTAGTGACACATGACAGCAAATTTAGTGACACCATCTGGACTCACCTTTCTTCGAATTTCTTCTGTACATCATTGAGGAGCTCCAAAGGCACCGGATCCTCCCCGCTGCCCGCTGCCCAACCCGACTCAGTAGGCACCTGATCAAATCGATCACGTGATCGATTATGGATACTTACAGGTGTTGTATCGCCAAATCTATGCACTGGCACTTTAGGATTTGGGTGATGTCCATTGTCGTGCTCCTCCTCTAAACAGGAGAAGCGGATAATGATTAAAATACTATAAAATGAACTAATAAAAAATAGTTAAGAGATTGATAATTAAAATACTATAAAATGAACTAATAAAAAATAGTTAAGAGATTGATAATTAAAATACTATAAAATGAACTAATAAAAAATAGTTAAGAGATTGATAATTAAAATACTATAAAATGAACTAATAAAAAATAGTTAAGAAATTGATGATGGAGTTTCACGACCCGACCAAGCGATCACTCAGGAAGAGGTACGGACAATGAGAAAGCATCCGATTGTCGAGTGATCCGAGCGGTATGGGAATATATGTTTGGTTTCCTCAACTGAGCTCGTAGTTTTCCTCACTATTTTATGAAGAATCACACGATTTTGGGTATAAGTATACAAAAATGAACGATAATTTCGAAAAATTTCCTCAAGATTTCCATATTGCTAGCAACACATATAGTTGACCATGTGCATATATTCCCCCCTCAGTAACCGAGAATGCACTCTCCGTCGCACAGATAGGAGAATTCCGATAATCTGCGCGAGTTCTCCCCTATTTGAAATAAAAAATCAGTAAAAAAATTATTGGACTTTCACGACTACCGGATTTATGTGAAGTGGCGTCGTCGTATTACTCTGTGAAAAAGGCGATATTTGCGGTGATATGCAGTGGTCGTGAAATATGCATTTTTTATAAACAGCTAATAAGGAATTAATGACAAAATAATACTAACTATTATGCAAATAGTGATAAACTTTGCCAGAAACTTTAAATTCGAAAGTCAATTGTGCCGCCTTTACGAAATAGCCGTTACGTAATATTGTCAACACCTTCAACTTTCGTCAATTCCGAGCTCAATGCGATAACAAACGTTTTAATAGCATTCCATAGTCTATAGTTGCACTACTCTCAAATTTAAGAGAAGCTCACCTTCTTCCACAGCTGAGGAAGTTTCCTTCCTTTTCTTAGCATATGCATTACCCTCAAAATTATACCTAACCGTAATAGATCCATAATAGCATATTGTGAAAAAGTTTGTGTGATTGTTGTCCCTATGGAGTCGCTCCCCTTTGTGTTAGCTAAGATATCTAGCGTCATGCTAGCGTTGTGACTGTAAGTTATAAGTTAGAATCATGCTAAACAAGTCTGTCATGTGATAACTCAATAAGTGCAATTACCCACCAATACTAAACAGTATATATTGGAATATAATTCCAATTATAATTCCATTTATATATATTAATATTGGAGTTTCACCCGTGATATGAAAAACACTAGTGAAAAACATACTTCACGGCTATTGCAAAGCGCAAATATCGCGTTTTTCACGGAGTTTTACGCCACTTCACGTAAAACTGGTGAAACTCCATTATATTCCATATAGAATTCACCAATTTTACTTACGGTTGAGGGCGACATATTTGCGATATCGCCGCCGTATATATAAACGTATCTCTGATCTCCTCAGGTGGTGTGAACATAAAATCGCACATATCAGCAAACGCATGAGCCTCTGTAATGAGCCCAACCAGCTTGTACCTAACCAAGAGTGTGCGAGGGGGAAAAATATGAAATTTTTCGAAAATTATCGCGGATTTTCTGTATAATTTTTACCGAATTTTTTCTCATATAAACTCGTAAAATTGAGTTGCCAGTGTGGTGCATGGTCAACTACATGTGTTGGTGATGACAATATAGAAATTTTTTCGATTCCTGAATATGTGTATTCCAACTCCTGTAGTGTTAAAAAATATGCACATGTGTTGGTGATAATATAAAATTTCTGAGAGGGAATTTTAGGAAATTCTTCCTAATTTCTGCATATCACTTCTAATCGAAATTTTATGTAAACTCCTGAGGAAAAGAAATCATCGAAAATATTATTTCTCTCAAAATTTCATTCGTCCTCGGGAATTTTTCCAGGACCACTAAAAACAAATGCCTTCTCCTATGGGGTTATGCTAAGACGATTATGAACCGCCATTTCTGAGTATCAAGTAACTCGTTGGGAAATTTTCCGGAAATCTTTGAGAGAAAATTTTGGGAGATTCTTCCTAATTTCTGCATATCACTTCCGTCCGAAACTCTTGAGCAAACGAAATCATATTTTTCAGGACTACTAAAAACTAATAATCAAATGTCTTCTCCTATGGGGTTATATTGAAACGACTATAAACCGCCATTTCTGAGTATCAAGTATCTCTCTTGGAAATTTTCCGGAAATTTCGAATCGAAAATATCTCTCACTCAATACCCACTTACGTCACTTTTCCACTTTTATGTTTTCTCGCTTTGAATAAAAAGTTGCTTGTTTCGTATGCTGAAGTGAGGCAACTAGGGATCGAACCGACGCCACAGAAGCTCACCAGAAGACTTTATGGTACTTGGCATTTTCGGGTGTAGACGCAATTTCAATCTACCATCTGCTGTTTTACGTAAACCTTCTAAATTCCTATCGATGACCTGTTGGGGACAATAGTGTTGGAGTAGAAATATATGTAATCGCTTTCCTCAGCTGCTGAGCTCAGAAGAGTTTCCTATACAGTGTTGGAGTAGGAATATATGTAATCGCTTTCCTCAACTGCTGAGCTCAGAAGAGTTTCCAAAACTAATTATACGAATCAGGGTAGAAGTGTACTACATACACCAACAAGAAATTCCCAAAATTTCCTCAGAATTTTCCAAATTGTCATCACCTACGTATGTGCATATATCCTCAAACACAACCGTTTCACCTCCCCTATGAACTGCTTAACGATCATATCAAGATTTCATTGGAGTTTCGCAACCCGCATCTTGACAAACCCTGGCGGAAAATATATTTCACGACCACTGCATATCACCGCGAATATCGTTACGTTTTTCACCGAGTATTACGATGCCACTTTACGTAAAACGGGTAGTCGTGAAACTTCAACATTTATATGATTTAGAATTCACAAAAAAAACGAGTAAACTCCACTAAACCATACGTATAGAGCGTCGTCATTGTAACGTGTTTTTTCAATCAATTCTAAGTGTGGCGAGCACTACGGCAGGGCTACGTATTAGGTGACGTCGAACTCACTAAATGCAACTGCCCTCATCTACTCTCATACAAAGAAACAATAACTACGTCATCTTATCAAAATTCCTAACAAATTTCGATAATTTTCTGATTTTCGACGACTACGATTTTATAAATCATATATGGAATATTCAGATTGATAATAAAGATATGAAATCCTGATAAGGAATTCCTATGAAAGCCATACTCGTTGAGAATTTGATAAAATCTAAAATCGCGCAAACAAAAATAAGGTGAGAAAAAACGAATGAGCGCAACTGTCGGGAAATCACTTCCCGAAGTGTCTCCTGAAATGTCGTTGGTTGAGTTACGGTAAACTTTCGAGAAAAATACAAATATATGCGATAACCCCGCTTGTGAAAATTCATCGGAGTTTCACGACTACCCGTTTTACGTGAAGTGGCGTCGTAAAACTCGGTGAAAAAATCCGATATTCAACGCGGTGATATGCAGTAGTAGTTGTAAAATATATTTTTCACCAGTGTCTTTTTCCATATCACTAGGGTTGTGAAACTTCGTTGAACCAGTCGGTGAAGGTATATAAAAAATTCGAAAAATTATTGGAATTTCGCGCAAAATAATCAATTGACCACCCCGAAATGCTGTATGTTACAACTCCTATTCCCTACTACTACTACTACTACTACTACTACTACTACTACTACTACTACTACTACTACTACTACTACTACTACTACTACTACTACTACTACTACTACTACTACTACTACTACTACTACTACTACTACTACTACTACTACTACTACTACTACTACTACTACTACTACTACTACTACTACTACTACAGCTACTACTACTACTACTACTACTACTACTACTACTACTACTACTACTACTACTACTACTACTACTACTACTACTACTACTACTACTACTACTACTACTACTACTACTACAGCTACTACTACTACTACTACTACTACTACTACTACTACTACTACTACTACAGCTACTACTACTACTACTACTACTACTACTACTACTACTACTACTACTACTACTACTACAGCTACTACTACTACTACTACTACTACTACTACTACTACTACTACTACTACTACTACTACAGCTACTACTACTACTACTACTACTACTACTACTACTACAGCTACTACTACTACTACTACTACTACTACTACAGCTACTACTACTACTAGCACTACTACTACTACTTTTTCTATATCGGCCTTCTCCAGCGAGCCCGGGTATAGTATAGACATAAAATGCGGCATGCTTTCTATCATATTCCCACCGCCGCCATCCGATTCGGAAGACATTTCTGAAGTAGTAGTAGTAGTCGTCATGTTGGGGTGAAGACTACAACACAGCTGCTGTTTGAGAGGAATCTTTCATCACTACAACACAAGCGGTCAACCTCAAGATACGTCCATTATCAATTTCAATTAAAACAGGTATAAATTAGTAAAAGCGGTGATAGAAAAGTATCCGTGAAAAATTGAGAGGCTTCGACTAACTAGTGACTGAATGACGAGTGACGAGTGAGAAATTTTGGGATATTTTTGGGAAATTCTTATTGATTTTCGTACACTTTTACCCGAAATAACCGTATAAAAAGTGAGGAAACTCTTCTGAGCTCAGCAGCTGATGAAAGCCTTCGTGTCTCTTCTCAAGAGTATCGACGACTGTGTGAGCGCCCGTGACATTATGGAGTATCCAGTGCCGTAAGTGGAATGGCACACCGTCAGCAGTTGAGCTAATATAACACAGATCGCTGAGAGTGATGATGACCATACTCTGGCACGCATGCGCAAAGGCCTGGTGTCACGTAATCACGTAGCGCACAAGACTAGGGCCTGACGAGCAGCAGGCAGGGTGTAGTTGTAGTGGGATCTTGCGCAGTCATTTGTACTTGTGTGCTCTATATAATCCATAGCTAATCGGAGAGGCTGGTCGTAGTTGGTGGCTGTTCCAGCTGTTGGCGCTCCTCTTTGTCACTCCGACCTCACTACTTATACTAAAGCCCTCTGGGTTGTGTTACCTCATCTGAGCACTAGAATCACCACTTAGTTCATATCTGTCCCGATCCATACAACATAGTCGATGTAGTAGACTACAATCAAGCGAGCGTCTTGCAGGTGGTAGATTTAAATTGACCTCACAAATTGAAGAGTGACAAACACGACTTTATTACATTACGAGGCGCGACCAGCCAAAGCTACCAGATACATTTCTTCCGAGAATAGCATCAGTGAATTGGATAGGCGACTCGAAGCTCGAGTGATACTGCTCTCAGACAGGGGAACTCTTACAGTGTCGTAATCAGTGAAAGTTTCAAGTACGTATCCAGTATTGTAGAAATTGTGAAAGTGCCGACAATGTCGGCACTTTCAGCAGGATGTTGGCCCGACATCCTGGGAAATTCTCAACGAGAAATTCTTATTGCACAACCGGCTTTGAACGTCATAGATTGCAACAACTATAAAAATAGAAGTTGCAAAAGGTCACCCGTGTTGGGAAAACCACTCTACCCCAGAAGGTGGTTCTGGTGAGGGCGCATTCCCCACGGCCTAGAACAGCACTCCGTGAAAAATTGATGTTACATGGATATCCACGGCTCGAATCTAGTGTAGTCCGCAGCGAAAAATAATTGAGCAATATTAATATTCGCATAGCTCACTTACTTGGCAGAGAATGGGCAGAGAGCATAGTTGATAGAGATGATACACAGAATGG